TTGCGCAGGACGACTCCCTCGCTGCGTCCCTGGCCCTCGAGCCCTGGAACGAGCTCGGTAAGCCTGTCGAAGCCCTCGCGGATGGCAGCGCGGCGCTTCTGTTCCGAAGCGATGTGGTTGTTCTTCTTTTCCTGTTCTGTAAGGCGGGGTTTTTCTTTCTCTGTCGTAGACGTTGATGTTAGGAGTGGAGGAGGGGGTTGTGGAGATGCGGAAGAAGTCATAGATATGGAGGAGAGGTGGCCTTGTTTGTTGCCATTCCCGGAGGCGGGTGCCTGCACGGTAGAGGAAGAACGAGCTGAAGGGGACGGTGAGGTGTGAGAGGGAGACATCGATGCGGAGGAGGAGGACGATGACGCCTGGGAGGGCGATGCTGAGGGCATAATCTGGGTCTGATCCCGGGAGTCGAGGAGAGGAGAGTAAGTTGAAAGAAATATATATTTGTAGCTAAATATGGATGTGACGTGGCCCAGCAGATGGAGAAAATGGATCCGCGAGACAAGCCAGCCAGCCTGATAAATGCGCCGGTAGAATCTCAGAATCGGTCTCTAAGATTGATCCCCGCCGGAGGAGTAGGTGGCTGCTGGAGCATACATGTATCCCTGAGAACGGGTTGTAGGCAGAAGTCGGCAGTTAGGTAGAAGATTGATTGATTCATCAATTATCAGGGAGATCGAGCTTCATTCGTCCGGCATTTGCTGGTTCTCGGGACTTCGTCATTAGTAATGTATTAGTATGGGTTATCTTGTCCCAAACTGTGCTGCGAGATGACGGTTTATCAAACGGTGACGGGGGATTAAAAAGCGGGGCTATAACTATGGCCCAAGCTGGCTGGGATACAGTAAGCCCAGTAACTAACGCGTAAGATGAGCAGAAAACGACGCTCTGCTTTGTAAATAAGTTTCTTCGTTTTCTTCCTCTCTGGCCGGCTGCCAGTCAGAGACCGAAGCCTGGGTTATGGTTCAAAGCCATTGTTGACGTCGATTATTCCAATCAGGAGCCCGCAAAAGTGGAACGGGAATTGTTTAGTCGGTTAGTTGGACTAGCCAGTTAACTTTACTAGTTATGGGCCTATTATCTCTATTATCTCACTGACTTTTTTTTTTTTTTTTTTTTTTTTTTTTTTTTTTTTAAAAAAAAAAAAAAAAGCTATCTCTGGATATTTTAGCTGCTCGAATATATAACTAACTGGCCGATGCCATTTTTCACTGAGTTCTTTATCTTTACATTCATTCTCCGGGTATCTTAATTATTAGCGATCAGTTATACACTCCACCCCCCTCCATCAATCCGGGTGCTTCCGTAGGAATAGCTGTCTATTCAATCCCCTCCAGATAACCACATCCTCCGCACATCCACAACATCCAACATGGATCGGGACAGGACGCTTCGGGGATCCTGTTCCTGTGGTCGCAATCAGTATGTCATCAACATCCCACAGAACTCCGCAGCCCAGGCCGAGGTATACTTCGACACAAGCAGAGACCACCGTATGCCATTCATTCCATTCCCTCCCTCTCACTATACAAAGATACATCTCAGAATCCAACTCTTTCATCTGGATGTGTAACCTAACAGAAGCATTATTATAGGGAGAAACCAAGCGGCCCCGCTGACGGCATGGCTACGCGTGCCCCTTGACTGGTACCACTCATATACAACCTCCTACTTCCCAGATGAAACACACAGCGCCATCCGCCGTACCTTCATTCCGCCAAATGCACCGCATTCCCAGCGCAATTTCTGCGGCTTCTGCGGCACGTCTATGTCATATTGGAGCGAGGATCCGCCTGAAGAGGCTGAGTTTATGTCCGTGACGATTGGCAGTTTGTTCAGCACGGATCAGGCGGCGTTGGAGGATTTGGATCTGTTGCCTGTCGACGCCGATGTTGATGTTGATACTGATATTACTACTGCTGCTGCTGCTGCTCAGCCGGTTCCCTCTTCATCCTCCCCACCTACAACAACCCAACTCACACCAAGAAGCAAAGAACCCCAGATGTCGGTCAAGCACCGGTTTGGCATCGTCAATGGCATCCCGTGGTTCGAAGAGATGATAGAGGGGAGCAGGCTGGGGAGGGTTGAAAAGACAAGACGCGGGGTTGGTATTGGCACAGACATATCTATGAGGGTGGAATGGGAAGTGAGCGAGTGGCATGACGATGATTCAGGTCCTATCGTGGAAGATTTGAGTGCTGTCTCCGGCTCCGGCTTTGGAGCTGACATATATTCGGGCCCCCGACCCCCCAAGAGGAAAACTCCCGAGGTAGGTGGTCATGATGTGGGGATCTGAACCAATTGGATTCAAATGCGTGATTTTCTTCTAGATGTTTTGACAATTTTCCCCATCTCATCTCCCTCTTGCTCTCGGCAATTACATGTGGGCTAGAATCCCGTCTATCCTGGATTTTGCTCTTGCTGCCGCTGTTATCATGAGTTGTGCTCTTTTAACTGCCTGCCATTCCTTTTACTCGCTCTACACTTGACGGGTATTTCCAAATCCTCCCCGCAGTTAGAAGGTGTTTCTCCGTCTCTGAAGGCGATTTCACATTCTACATACACATCAAGTAAGGCGGCAAGGCTCACATATGTATCTATATACAGAGGCCTGTATTTATCTTCGATTCATCAGCATTGTCCTTTCTGCATCTTCTTTAACCGGCGTTCCCAAAAAAAAAATCGATTTATATTGCCATTTGAGGTTTAATATAAAATATTTCTCTCAATTCTTCAGCATCGGCTACATCTCCATGATACTAGTTGATATCTCTTTCTATGTACCTCTTTTAACACTATATAGCAAAACAGCGATCTGGATTTGACTTTATGCCAGATACCAAGTCCCACCAGCAATGTGGTTTCTCTGACCTTACGGGACCTCCTCTCTCTGCTACGACAGATCTTTGAGCAGAGCACACACTTGGTCAAGCATCCTAAAGACACTCAGCCCTAGCCTGAAATGCCTCTGAAGGTTCCCTCTTGTGCCAGTGTGTCTGCCATAACCGCATTTTGCTGAATATCATGTGCTTTTCGTGCAACGCTGTGCTCTAGTGCTTATATATTCTTCTCTTCTCTGTCTTTTTCTTTCATTCTTCAACATCCATTTCCTTTCTTTATCACTACTTTAAGACACAAACATCATCGTCTCTGTACACTCTTTTACCTCTTGTTGGGTCCCTGTTCTTCTTGAAGCTAAGACCTGGTCCGCTTCTGCTCTCATTTTTGATCGACTTTCGTCTCCTATGCATGCAAGACCCGTGTCTCGCTCTGTTGCCTTTCTTCACCCCTATTTTAATACACTCTCAACAACAACAGTACCCTCTTTGCAAAACGGTATTTGGAAATCTGATTGATGTTTATTTCTGGCCAGAAACGTACCCAGCGTGCCCTAATATTCGTCCAACGCGTGTACAACGTCTCTAGAGAACGCCATGGCTCTGTTACCTCGCAACGCAACCAGGACAACAAGGGGGAGGAGGACAACCGAGAGGAAGATAACCCCCTCTCGTTTTCTTTTCCCTCGTATCTCCCTCGAAAACATTGGACTACGAAGGCCTCCGTCCCCAGTCTGTATCGTGCGCCCTCATCTACGCGCAATTCCTCCAACCAATTTGGCTCTAATTGAAAGGACTAGGGGCATGAGGTTTGCGACCGCGGTGCCAGACTCATACATCAGACTCACCAGACAACCACCCCGCAGGCGCAGGAAAAAAGCGCGTTCGAAGAAATCCCCTCTCAAGGATCAACCATTTTCTAAACGCTGGGCTTCTGCTGCGGTAAATGCTTTTCGTCCCTTGAGTAAGCGTGAGAACGACCTTGTTCCAGCTAAAAAGGTGCGTTACCGTAACTTTTTGAAAGTTGCAAATTCTCCTTTTTTTTTTTTTTTTTTCTTTTCTTTTTTTTCCCGCCCCTTTCTCGCTGAGACAACACAAAAAAACGCGTGTACCAAAAAACATGCTGACAATTTTGGACAAACACAATAAATACAATAGCTACGTCGTACTGCGAATGACACTAAGATGGGCGGGAAACGAAATCGCACACGCCAGACATCGCCATTTCCAATGCCACCGGTATGTACTCTACTATGAATCGCAATGATTCTATGCCTCCATGCTTCCTTGCATTTTTTAATATTTAACGACTTTCATAGGTGAGAATGTCGAGTTTACGCACAGCCAAGTCGCTTCCTATCTCCGCTGCTCACAGAAAAATGTCCGCTGAGAAACCCCTTCCCAGCCCGCCAACGGCAGATGTACCACATCTCCCAAGTAGTCCCGGGGCCTCTAAAAGTAGCTATGAGAATATCACTGATGCACAGAGTCGCCCTCGTCGTGAATCCCAGTCGGGGAAAGCTGAAGTATCCGAGAAGTGGCCCGTTTTATCACCATCGAAAGTGCAACACTCATGGGAACCTAGTAATGATATCATTGAGGAGCGCAAACGGCCCCAAGTTGCGTCAATGCTAACTGATCACGAAGCTTCTCCTATCTCGGTCATTGAAGCTATTCAACATAAGAAACCAGCCACTCCTCTCAAAACTACTACACGGCAAACTCGTCTCCGAACTCCGTCTAATTGGGCTGCTCACTCTCGCCCTGAGAATACTTTTCAGGAAGGAGATCAAGATGCTTCAGTGGAGAGGGCATTTCAAACCAATTTGCCAGTTATGAGCCCAATGTCCTCTCAAAGCAACCAGATTTCAGTGTCACATCCACTGGAGGAGCTTAATCCTGAGTTGACGGTTGCAACACCACCTACCGGGATGGGCGATAGCGTCACTCCTAAACCAAATCCGTTCCGCAACCGCCATAGACCAACTTCATCCCATCAAGAGGTTTCGCCACCTGTGCGACACGACAGCCTTAGGGCATTTTCATTTGACTTTGGGTCCAATTACCAAAACGCAAAGTCTGTGCAGATTTACGGTGGTCAGAATGACGTGATTGCTGATATCCCAGGCCGTGAGGAGACTGCAAAGAGTTGTGTCACTCCCCGTAATGGGAGCGGTACCTCCAGGATTCCTCGCATATCTCCACAGGTGCCAACTCCTCCTGCCACTGGAGAAGTCGCTAGGGGCCCTTCGAGTGGAATGAAGAAGCAAAAATCACCCAATCGTCGTAGCTCAATTCCTGTTCCCAGTAGAATGTTGCATGGGAAGGATAAATCAGATGGCAATGCGCTGTTTACTGTGACCAATCCTCTGAGAACCGGCGAGAATCTTGCTTCAGTTGATACCGAAACAATATATGAAAACAAAGGTCTCGAGGACGCACGTGGTGTTGTACACCAGGACACTAGTAGGGTCGTCGATCCCAACGCCACCGGTAATATCGAGAGATACGTTCAGAATGAGAGAGGTGAACATCCGGGATCTCCAAAACCTCAGCCTGATGAGTACAGAGTGAGGAATTTGTCTGTTCCGGGTCGTCGTGGGCTCCAGCTCCGCATTTTGCCAGAGGCTGACAGCGTCATCATGGGTAATACTGCTAATGCGCAAGCAGGGCCATCTGAGCACTTGGATGGGAAACGTGCTAAGCGTCTGTCTGGTGCAAAGAGACTCTCAGGAGACAGCATCTTCGGTAGCTTTGCTCCAAGATACCTTCTGCATTCGCAGTCTAGTAATTCGTTGCATCTCTCCTCCTCCCCTTCTACTCCTGCGGAGGAAAAAGCGGCCAAAGAACGGAAACTCAAAAAGGCTAGAAGCACAGATGCTGCCTACGCAAATTTGAAGAGAAGTCGTATTAGATCGGTGACTGCGCCGCCACCGCCTCACGCTCTTTCAGAACAAGTTAGAAAATTTAGCACGAATCCTTTCTACAACAATGGAATCGGAGGAACCGTGCAATCTCCTGGGATGTTCAATGATAGATATCCATATTTGAATAACGGTGACTTGGACCCTCTTCGATTCTCAGAAGCGGATTCAGGGATGAGTCAAGGATACAAGCCTTCATCTCCACTTGCTGAAAGCACAACCCTCATCGATGATAATGATGTCATTTATTCCCAGCCCAGATCCCACAAAAAGCACACGATTCCAACCCCTCTGAACTCGCATAGCTCCGTGGACCAGTTGCTTAATAATAATAGCAACGCATCTTCCAGCGAGAACGTGGCAAGCCCAAGTCTCCGTCACCATAGTTCGTCGTTACGCTTACCTCACCATTCTACATCCCGCCAGCGCTTGGTTGACCCCGGAAGCCACCGCAAATCGAAACTGAAAAATATTGCACCTGATATTGTGCACCCGTCATCATCCGCCGAGTCGGCGCCAAAGGGTGAGCCCGAGGTTCCCCGTAGGAAGCATAGGGAGTCCCCATCAAAACATCGTTCCACTTCAACAATCCAGGAGCCTTCCAAGGCCAAATCATCATCCACGAAAGGCGGTGTCTTGTCCAACTTCCGTGGCCTCTTCATGAAACAGAAGGTCGAACCCGCGAATACAACTACAAGCGCAACGGCATGTACAACCGCATCCGGTTCAACGCTGACAGCTAAACGCAAAGATCTCGAACGAGTCAAGGCATCAAATAGCGGGATCTTTAGTACCGGAAGTCCCATGGAACGTTCCTCTAGTCGTCGTATACGGGGACGTTCTCGCCCTAGCAAAGACGATAATATGAAGCCGAACACAATAGCTCCCCTGGATGTCAGTGGGGATCATTCCCGTCAGTCATCCGACGGCCTTACAGTCGCATCTCAGATGGCTCGTTCTCCAGCTCTTTCTGGGCTTAGAAATGTTAGCCATCAGTGTGTGCAGATCTTGGATTTAGCTCGCGATGAGGCGAATCATTCTAAAAAGGAGACACTTATCAAGGTATGTAGGCTTATGGGATTTATTATGTGTTTTTGCACCTTGTGTTTTTCCAAAACTTACAATTTTTGACGTTATCACGTTCCCCCTTCTTTTTCCTGGTAACAATCCAACACTGCCGCGCCATCTTTTTGCATTGTTGCATAATTCCAGAATATGCTAACAACGTGGTCCCCTACCCACAAAATAATAGCTCGGCACAATGCTCGTTGAAGCCGTCAACTACTCCAATGATGCTGAGCGTGCCATGTTAGCCGCTGTACAGGCTGCCAAGGAGGCTGAAATCGCCTGTGCCCGGGCCAAGGAAAACGCCATGAGAATGGGTCAGGTTGTTCAGAGAATGGACAGAGCATGGTAAGGACAGCTCTAGTCTTCCCTAGATGGCTTTTCTCGTGTCTTATATGGATGATGTCTCCGGGATAGACAGAGTGAACAACGAATCCTGAGGCCAATTGCTTCGCTTTACACTGCCCTGGTGTATTTTAGGACTTTGGGACCGCTTTTGCCCTGGCTCCGTGGCCCGAATTTAAGAGAAATCCGGCATATCCAAATTTCTCACAGATTTATCTCTTTCTCGATTTATTTCTCCAATGCGTTTTGCTATCTGATCCAGGATCTTTATTAATTGCCCTCGCTACGGATTTCTATTTGTGTTTCCATTTCTGTTGATTTTATCTTCGGGAAGGGAAGATATTTCTTCTGCTCCCAGATAAAATCTCCTGTTTCCTCCTTCCCATCTTCCTGTTTTATTTTTCGTGATATTTCTTTCTAATGGACCAACTGTGAAACCATTGGTTTCATTTTAATACAAGAAGCGGATATGCCAAGCGTTTCCCAGTCCTTTTTCTTTTCTTTTCCTGTTAAAGTCTATTAAGTTTGTCTCATGGAAACCAAGGAACACCGGGACATACCTCTGGAGATGGAGTCCTTTGCCAATCGTCAACTTCCACATGTTAAATTTATAATTGCTAAACTCCCGGATTAACTGGATTAGATGTTTACTCCCTGGGTTGTTTCATTTTCCTTGCGTGCTGTCTTTGCTTTAATATGCCTGTGGTAGACATTTACTGCGATTACTGCTAAGGATTGTCTCTTCCCTGCCCGGTAAATAGCGAGATTCAACTCGAAATCGTTGTAGGTAGAATGAAAAATCGTGATTTTTCTTTTCTTTTCTTTTCTTTTTTTTTTTTAAAAAAAAATAAAGTACTGGAGAGCTGGTATAGAGGTGTGATCAAAAAAAAGTATAGGAGGAAGGGGTAAAGACATAAGACTAATGCTAATCCTCAACAGCCACCCTGGGAGAATAGACATGGATACTAGTTTACATGATCTGTTCTTGTTTCTTTAATCTCCTTGCTCTGTTCTGGCGGAACCTCTTGTACTGGTGGTGCCAATGGCACTCTAATGATTTTGAACTTGCTACAGGTATGAGCAATAAAAAGCTCATTTTTATCTCCATTCTTCACTGAGACGAAATATCTTTTCAGGAGGGATTTCGCGGTATGTTCTGTGCATACCATGGCGAGTTTGTTAGTGCCTAAAAAGACCAGCTGCCGGGACAACACGGCATATGACGTTTCGGACGGCCTTCGGTTGGATAGCAAAACCAGACAAATCTGAACACAGAAAGGGATTGATGTTTCAGGCAGAAAAATAATGTGGATCCGTTGGGCAGCGGGCAGTTTATCAGACTTTATCATGATCGGAAAATGTTCCTCCACAAACAACAGACAATGGCCTCGAAAATCTCTTCAGTTGTATTGCTCTGTTCGAATAATGAATCAGGAGAGAGGTATCGCCATTGGGTTTGGAGAGCCGTATCAGCTCTGCAAAATGAGTCCGTGATACAGAAATTTGATCCTGAAAAGTTCAAGGATTGGCTATTGGATTAGTTATCCAATCAGAGCCTGGCCAAGCCTGATCCACGTAATATTTGTGAATAGCGAAATATTTCCTGGTTTATCATATAATCTCCAAAGAGTTCGTTCTGCCATGAGCGCGTTTGCATATAAAGGAAGCTTAAGTTTTATTCTCTCATACCTCTCCGGCACCATGAAGGAAGTGTAGTATCCCATTGTTATCGTCCAGCTATTGCTGTGGTGATAGGTTGCAAGTCCCCAAAATTCATTGCCGTGTTCCCCAGTGGAACACCAACTCGTAAAAAGGGATGAAAGCTGGCATGGGACTGAAGTGGCCCAACTAGATGACTGCCAATGCGGTAATCAAGAATAGCTCTGCCTTGAGCGGATGCAACTACCCCTTCCTTAGGAGGGTGAAACGCTCGAAGCTGAGTTAAGATAGCCGCCATATCATTGACGATAGCGTCCTGTTCCTCGGGCTTCAACAGGCCGAGCATCCACAGAGTTCCTGCGTTTGTTCCTTTAATGTAATCCATCATAATATAGATGCTGATCCATGTAGATACGTCGAACTCGAGGAACTGGAATAGTATTGTGCTCTGCAACGTAGAGGAGCGCTTCAAGTTCTGGAGGGTCACACGGCCCCTTGATAACATGACTACGCCCGACCTTAACAAGGGTTGGACCTATAGATCCAAGGATTGACCGGATTCTAAATTGAATGTCAAGAACGATGGTTTCCGAATCTAAATCCGCATTAAAGACGAAAATTGGCGTCAGCTTTGGTCTGCTCAGATGATATGGCTTGGGTTGGGCAAACCTTGGAATGAAGTCATTATTATCTGCCGCCGTCACCTTCGCTCAATGGATGAGAGATAGACTTTGGAAATCGAGGGGAAAATGATTTGCGTGGAGCCGAATGATCCTTGATTGATCGTGTGGCTCACTCATCGACCTCAAGTTTGCCCCTGAATTCAACTGCAGATTGATAGCGTTTCGGCTTGGCGTACAGTAATTAACGTAGTCTTGACCGTAGTGGTTGCGGTAAAAATTGTTGTTTCAGGCCTAAATAGATCATCAGAATTTTCATCATATGTATAAATCTCCTAAGTATTCTGAGAAGGTCAGAGACAAGTAGACAAGAACGATGAACTGAAAAACATATTCTCGACCTGATAAATCGATAATTGATCTGCCTGTGATAGTTCCTCCTGAATCTGACCCATAGATTCAACAAATATTTGGATATAACTTGCTCTCTGCTGATAGGTAGTTAGAGCTTATATGCCGTACTCCTGCGTCTTCCTCATACAACCTCCGTCGGTCTATCCACAGAGCGAGAAGGGTTGAAGTAAGAGAGAGGCGTTGTTTGAAAGGCAATTTTAAGGAGAATAAACAATTGTCACATAACATGCAGATCGTGACATGTTTGGTTCCCATCACGAATTGTTTGACCCGTGTTGCTATTGGTGTGTATAAATGCGTGCGCTGGCCCAAAGCGCCACCCTTTTCGAATAGTTACAAGGAGTTTTTCCCCATATGATAGTTAATTATTAATTAGTGCCGGACAACATGGCATTTGCCACGGAGATGTCGCCTGTAAACGCTTAGGAGAATTGATCAATAATCGCCCCAAAAGGTCGAAATCAGCAGTGCTACTACTACTACAAAGTGACCGGGTCACCAGGATTTCCTCAGTTTCTAGAAGAAATTAATAGCAGTTGGGGGTTATATGTTCGGTTTCATTGGTCATGCCCTGAAGAGCACGCTCAAAGTTCAAGTGACCATCGAGCACAAAGAAAAACGTGGAGAATGTTAACTGGTTATAAGCCTCAAAATGTGCGCATATTGTGCATCCAGAGATGGGCCTATATTTCAACTTTCAGTAAATAGAGGGGATATATCGGTTCATGAGGAAATGGAAGCTTGTTGTAGGAAAGAAAATATATCCAATCGGATAGTTGCGCGTGATTTAGCCGATTTAAACAGCAGGATTAGAAACAAATCTCTATCTCTCAAATTTACCGCAAATGTAAATATGAAGCGAATGGCTCAGAAAGGATCGCCTGCTTGCTCCAAGGGATTATCGATCTTGTCTAAAAATGCCACCTGCCGGTTTTTATTGACTAGTTAAAGTAAATCCGTGAAACAAACAAGCAACTGAAATAGTTCCTCGCCACGGAACACAACATCAACCTGGTCTATAAAAACGTCATCCACAAAAGATAGCAGTGCTTCATACAAAGAAGGGAGGGTTCTTCTAGCTATTGAACACTTAATAAACATCAGATTTCAGATGTATGAGCAGTAGAAAAGTTATACAATGTCTCTCACATAACTTGTTTTATGATATAAATGATAATACAGCACCTATTTACCAAAGAACTGACAACTCAGTTTCACAAAGAATGAATCTTTTATTCTGTGAATTCTCCTCATCAATGAGTGTGAACAGTCATCTCAAATTATAACTATACAAAGTATGATCAATTTACATCTCATTGAATAAGAAATTAAATCTAGTAAATACAAAAATTTATCAATTATCATAAGACGCTATTATTAAAATTTTTATATAAGAATGGTTATCAGTAAGCTTTGTATAAAATTTTTAAAATTGTAATATAATTTAATCTTGATGAAATTATATAAAGTATAAAATGCTGTTAATTAAGATATATCTCTTTAATAAAACTAGTTTGCTTCGAGCGCTCCCTGTCGATGGGTCCTTATATGCCCTGCAAGGCGCCCATATGTAACCATCGATAATCCCCATTGCTGATAGGACATAGTGCCATTTTAAAGACACTATATTCCTATCTGAGAGTAGGATACATCATATCCTATTGGGCCCAGCAAGGAGATAGTTAAATAACTCAAGTTTTCAGCATGACGACTGTTGTCCTAGTTCCGCCCTTCCAGCAGCCTAGAGCCAAAAACGTATTTCCTTCATTGTCCCAATTCCAGAGCCAACAGTCCAAATCAGCACATTGTCCCGTACAGCCACGGAATGCATTACTATCAGCTGGTTAGAGACGAAGAGTCCCTTTGTGTTCCAGGAAAAAACATCGGAATGTACTCAACATGGTTGAGCTTGAAAACGAACCTACACTTGATCAATTTACTGAAAAATTTGCTGCATTCATTGAAATGTCTCTTATATTTGATGTAGGGGAGGAACATCTTCCAATAGCACTACACCCTGAAAGCCTCCCGAAAAGCTCTCTCCGTTAAACATCGCATAACCAAGAAAGAGAGGAAAACAAACCCAACATGTAATAACAATTCAGTACGGAGTATCAGTGCTAAATATGATCCTGCTCAGCAAAGCAGGCACTCCGAGACGAAATGCACCTTGATAAATCTTGAAGTTGCAAGTACAAAGAACGAAATTCTTCCTGTCTGTATTGGGTGAAATCCACTTGGTCAGAATCTTTACACGTAAGAATCCATGAGATGTTCACTTACCAGGGCCCAATCCACGTCAAACTCCATCATCTCTCCCTACCACTCCGCATTCATGGGCTGTCGCGGTTGTCGCCATGGTCCCCCCGCTTGTCAATAGACGTGATGTTCTGCTCCTGTTCAAGTTCAGGAACAGGGTCAGCCATCTGTTCCGGGTCAATGGATTTCCCTGTAGAAAAATTGTCAATTCGCTTGTCCAAACTGGGATCTAAACGGGGGTCGTGGAAGATTACCAAAATATTTGACTCCATCCCATCTCTTTCCTTTCATAGGTTGGTCGTCGTAGTCAGAATAACTAAATTGATCTTGTCTTTTTTCTCTCTTAGGTTGATCGTCGTAGTCAGAATAGCCAAATTGGTCCTGTCTTTTTCCTTTCCTAGGCTGGTTACTATCATGGTTATTGTTACTATTACCATAACCAGAATATCCAAATTGTCTCTGTCTCTTTGTTTTCTTGAGTCTGTCATAACCCCCGTATTCAAACTGTCTCTTTTCATTCAAACGCGCCTCTTGTGCTTGAGGGGTTGTATCACGTCGGTCCTTCGCTTCTGGGGCCATGCAAAGAGGATCAGGATCGATCTCTCGGGCGGCAAGACTTGCAAAGCCCAATGGGTCTCTGGTGGCAAGGATGCCGTCGTCATTGATTGGGGCCCCCAGACTAGTGGTCACAATTTTATAGAGAATTGCTAAGAGGTAAAACAGCCGCATCTTGGAGGAAGTGATTGTGGTTCGTAGGTATGAAATACTCGTGCTTAGCTGCAGTTCTTCAGAGTGCAGATGTTATGACTGTCAGCAGGAAGGAATATTTTTTGGAGCAATTTGAAAGACAAAAACATCCCAGAGGTTCATTTGGCCTAAGGGTTCGTTACAAATTTTCTGGAGGACTGATTGATATCCTTTAGCCTTTTATAATATCCTATTCCCCCTTTTCCTTCCTCCATGTTTGCAAACATGGCTTGAAAATTGCGAGTATTGCAAGGTGCCATATCAAGATAATTAAAAAGAAAACTCCATATCTGCGTAACAACCGCCTGATATAAACAGGACCGAGCTGCATAATGGGACGCAGAGAACTGGTCTGGAACCCATAGGCTGGGACGTGGCGTAGTGAATTATTATATCACAATTGATGTTAAGCACACTGTAGTTAATGGCTTAAAACACGTCTAATGTAACTCTTGGCATAAACTTGGGTCATGTTTATTTGACCATATCATGAATCTCAAGCCTGATTGGTGTGCGCATCAGCCAAAAATTCCGTTCACCCATCCCGCAAATGTTGCGTGCTTCCGAGCAGTGTAACTGTGTGATGATATTCTATGGAGTCGACCTTATCATAACAAAAATCTTAGGCAGGGCTTATAAGTTAATTTTTTTTCGGATTTCTGTGCTTTCAAGCTCCTCACATGTTCTTTAAACTGATAAGACATAATTGTGTACGGAAATAAAATGATTATAATCATGGCAATTGCACTAAATAAATGCTTTCTTCTTGTATTTGTCTGTCTTTCTGGGATGAATCAGAGTCTCCCGGATTGGCTGACGGTATGTAAAGAATATGAAACAAACATGGGTATATTAATCGTTGGTCTGGGTATCTGCCCTGGAAAAGTCAGCGTTCGATGACCAGCACAGCGATGAATAAAACTTAGCTGTTCCTTATTCCCCCATTCTCGATTCAAACAGTCAACCCAAGGCACTTGCATAAGTTCCTAAAATGTTTAGAAATTGGCCTGGTTCCTCTGAGTTCAGACGTATTCACCAAAATCTGGAAGACACAGACGCAGAGGCGGAGGAGCAACTTCTTGCTAAAGGAAAACATTTTTCCAAACGACCAACAACAAAGGCAAAATACCTGTTCTCAGCGATAAGTGGCTTTTTCCTTGGTATTTTCGGCACTGTCTCCTATTTTTTGTTGATAAACCCTTCCGGGATTTTGCTTGAAAAGAATGCATTCCTCAAGCAAACTTCATATTGGTGTAAGACAAGCTTCTATAAATTCCAGCATTGGAATCGAGGCTGACGGGTCCATATAGCGAAAGTGCTTGATGAGATTGAGATCTCAACAAATGTTGTTATGATGAACGGGACTCTTTTCCCCCCTCCTGACCCCACGTTTGCGCGAGGAGAGCCTAGTGTGGAAAATGATGGCGTTTGGCAGATTTTCGAGAATATTCGGACACATGTCATCACGCGTGATCAGATTATCAAGCTAGGCAAAGACCCAGATACTGTCTCACGTTTCGACGATGAATACTGGGGGTTTGGGCAAAATGCATACATGGCTCAGTTGGACATATTTCATGTAAGTTACTAGACAAACGCTGCGTTTTTTTCGTCCATCACTAATAGCAACACAGCAAATCCACTGTCTTAACAGATTGCGAAAAGCAGCTTTTGCAACATATCCCGGTTATGAGCCGGCAGATATGGAGAACCCCTATTCGAAGATGTGGTGGATCCATATTAGCCACTGTGTCGATATGCTGCTACAGAATATCAAGTGCCACGGAAACACCGATATGATTACGCTTGATTGGGTGGGGAATCGTGGAAAGCTTTGGCCAGACTTCAGCATCAAACATAAATGTCGCGACTTCGATGCAATATTAAACTGGAATGTGGAGAATTCCGTTGATGGGGAGAAATTCAACCATATGCCGCTTCCCAAAGATGCGTATATCTGGCCTGAACCGTGGAACAGTCCGGAATTTGAACTTGGTCATCCTTTATCAAAGAACACTTGGAAGGAAGGGAGACAATGTCGGTAGTCCATTAAAAGTAAAGACATTATGCAGAAGTTTGTGAGGGTATGAAGTTGTCTGGCAGTATCAGTCAGAAGTTGAGATTCCAAGGCTATTGATCAGAAAGTTTGGTTGGGATGGAGTCAAAATAAGCTTAAATACAGTTCAGTGATAAAATTAAGGTTTAGTTAGCGCCCTCTGAGTTTCCAGAAAACTTAAAATAGTTCCACCAACTCAAACAATTAACAGCAGAGATTCGGAGACAAGGGACGGGAAAGGGAAATATTCTGGAGATATACCAGAAAAAATGACTTGGAATTGGAGTTTCTTAAGCTAGGTAATAAGCACTCGAGTGGCATGTACCTAACAACTTATTCCTTGGATTCCAGGAACCGTTTGAAGGGAAAGTCTGCCCAGCCCTACCAGATATTTGAAACTTGTAGATCTATCAATAAATCATATCTATTCACTCAGATCTCTGACCGAAGATATATATAATCATGTATTTAAACTTTTATATGAACAAAACACATGGTATTCTTGAATATAACAAAGCTAACTTCCTCTTCCTGTAACAACTTCGCACGAAAGGAGGAGTGATCGCTAGAGATTCATTAATTTTTGATTTTTAAAAACCACGCAACTGAACAATTATCTTTCACTCTGAAATGAATGTAATTCTAAGGGATCCCCCTGTATAAAATCGTCCGCTCAAACCCATTTCTATTTAGGCATCTTCTCAATTTCCAACACCTAGCTAGAGATTTATGCGTCATTCCAATTTTCCTACGTTCCGCTTGAGAAAGAGGAATTTATCTCAGTACTCCGGCGAGTTCATAGAGAAAAGCCAAAAAGGGGGGGAGAATACATCAGGCATGTGAGTCCTCATTCCGCGTATATGAATATGTATATACATTCTGTCATAAAAATAATACAGGCTTCTCCACGCCAGTCGACCTATCCCTTTGTGCGAACTTTAAGTGGATGAGCTTCAGTGTTGAAGACAAATTTATTCTTCCCCTCGCGAGCCACTTGCCAACTAGCTTCTATGTTCGCCATTTGGCAATTAGCGAACGGACACAAAGAGAAATACGGAGAAAAGGGTACAAGAATGGAAATTTAGAGGAAGAAGAATTTGTTGAATTGAAATAAGTGCACATAAACTTACCGGGTGCAAATGTCATGTACGCATATTTCATCACCTCAGCGAAAAGAAAGCTTTCTTGGAAATTTTTCTTATTTCCACCATCAAGAGTATTTACATTAGAGATGGCAGAAAAGCCGGAATCCGTTCGACATGTCCTGACAAGGGCTTCGAACGCCTCCCACACCCAGTCCTGATACTGTTGTGTTGTTAAAGTTGGCTAGCTGAAAACTATTTCAAACGTACCGTAGGGAGAAACATCGGGGCAGCAAAGGGTACATACCTTGGTGTCGCCAGTTATCCTGTAGGCATGGTAATAGCTCTCAATGACCTCTGGTCTCAGGTTATAGTCCCCGCTAGTAATGAAAAATCCATTCTTACTATAGAATGACCTTTGATCTTTGGGTACTCTCGACTTATCCCAACTGAATCCCTCTGGGCCAATTTTCGTAGCCGTGGAACTATACGTATGACGACATCCTTTGACAAGATCTAATCCAAATTTGACAAAATCCTGACGGTTGAGGACTTGTCCCCCGAGAAGAAAATTGCCACCGTTAAAACAAGCCAAATGCTGAGAACTGGAACCAAGTTTCTTGTTGCTGTACGGAGCTAGGAAGGTAAATTCGGGACGCAAAGGTAGCGAAACTTTCAAATGCTTAATCGACGATTCGATTGCAAGAACCCATCTAAATTCTCGAATATTAGCTACGAAGGTTACCTGATTGTAAAATATGAGATGGAACGCGGTGGGGGATTCATACCTATCTCGATAAGTTTTAAACCGGGACTCGTCATAAATAAACATTTTTATTAAGTATTCATAAAATGAATCGGAACCTGCACCCCAGCTGATATCAGAATTCAAGAAATGACCAGTGGTAGTGTTTAGCTCTGATCCAATGAGGCCAGGGAATGGCTCAGCTCCCGCAGTTTTCGGTTTAAGAAGGTATGATTCTCCCTTCTCGGCGAGTCTCCCATATTCTGGATCCCCTGTAAGGTCCGACAAGTGCATCCCTTCTAAGAGGTCAATATGACATAAGTTGAAGAGGGACTCAAGGTCACTCACATTCGAGGATAAGAGTTCCAATAGTTGCAATTCCATTGGAAGTCCCACCATCCTATCTCCTTGTCAGATATTTTGCTTTCCGTCAACGAAATGTAGCGGGATTGAATTCTTGTTGTTCAGGAAACATGCAATCAATCCTCAAAGGAAGCAAGCAAGCGGCAAAATCAGATCTTACCGTCAGCTGGTCGCCAATGATCAGATTATTGGAGGGTATGCCGCTGGGGGTATTAAAAGCGTATTTCAAGACGTCCGCCAAATTTTTGGATTGCGTTAAGAGTGCTTTGATATGATCCGGCTATGAGCAACTGGTCAGCGCAGTAATATATCAGTGCGTGGTTAATATTCACATTTTGGCCCATGTTATTTTCACTCAACAAATCATAGCCAGAAAGCATTCCTCCCAGATAGCGGATCGTCGTCTCAAATAAACTGACGCCAGATTTTGTCTTCGAGTAGTCGATTTTCGAGATATGCTCCAAAATGGTCTTGACGATTTCAGGACTGTCCATTATAATTGCAGTAGAAAGGGCGTCAACAGCTGTGGCACCCCAACCATTTCTATGAAAATCGTCAGTTTCCGTTCTGCTGTTTCTGAAAATGCCTGTAAGGAATCAACCCACCGGGAGTCACTGGGAGTATTTGAAACAGGCCGTAGTTCATCGTGGGGAAATGCATGTTTCATATAGCCGCTCCAAGCAAACTCAAAGGCCTCCTTAACAGCTTTAGCTCTCTCGGAGTTTGGTGCACGCTTTTCCAAGGGGCCATACTCGTCTTCCGGTAGAAGTGGGAAAGGGATCGTAAAGGGGACCAGCGAGAGAGCTGTCAGAGCGAACCCGAAAAGCCGCCGCATTTCGAAGGATAAGATATAGAGACAGAAGATGCGACAGCGAGTCCTAAAATATATATATTAAAAAATCACAATAAAAAAAAAACAAATACGTTAAAATGAAGAGAGAAAAAAAAAAGGTTCAGAGAGAAAGTTCTCTTGGAAACAACCAGGAAGGAACAAACATCAGCGACCCGCCAGTTATGTATAAAACGAAAAGTTGCCGAACGCAGAAGAGAATCAAACGGAGGTAAAATTACAATAATGACTGCATGACTTTTGGTTTGATTACTCCCTATTTCGACAGCTTAAGCCTATTAAACCAAAACCAGAATCAACTGGCCCGGCCTCTCTGGATGATTAGGTCAGAAATTCGACGCTGCTCACATCATCCTAGGCTTATCATGTTAGCAGCATGCTAGGGCAAGGATCTCTCTTCTCAAAGAAAGCCAGCATCTGAGGCTAAAGGATTTCATGGGCCATCTAATTTGGGCGACGAATCGGGGTGCCTGCTGACGACTGATCATGACCATCGTCGGTAGGAAACCACCCCAGCCCTTGGTAGATTAATCTGCAGGTGAGCTTGTGAAGCCACAGAGCTCCTCCAGACGTCGACTTCACTCTTCGAGCAACAATAATACATCATGCAGCGCGTGTGGACGGGGTTTTAAAATGGATGCACGCATGAACCCTGGAAGTCCAAGCCACATCATTTCAGGGGTAGATCACGTGAACATGTTTGCCCTAGAGAGTCTGACCAACCAAGAATCGTAACTTTATCTTGGAAACGTCCTCGGCTTAAAATACTCAAAGAAGTTTCCTGCGACAAGACAAAACCTCCCCACGTTCGGTAAGCTGATGATAAGTTTCCTTTGGCTAGAGTTGTTAACTGATAGCTTTTGAAGTCAATTCAAACTGATTAAAATGGTTGCTCTTCTCAAGTATCATCGTAATGGTTTGACATAACAAACTAACCATGCCTTTCAACCCTCTGTCTTTCCGGGCCTTGGTATTCAAGATGCTGGTTACTCAGGGGGGATGTCGCTCTTAGAGAAGAGAGGGTCGCATGACGCCTTTTTTTTTTTTTTTTTTTTTTGGTTTGGGTATCATGATCTCAACTCCTGTGCTTTTGTTCGTGCAACAAGCATCATGTCATAAGAGGGATTCATTATTGATCCCCAAACCAACATTCCGAAGCTTGTTACTGTAATCCCGGCCCAACTAATATCTTTATCTGGTATGGGGCAGTCTTTTTGAGTATTTAGATATGTGAACACTCAGCTTCAGACCATGCCTGATGATCAGCGAGATTACGAAGCAGGGTGAAAGCTAGAAGCAGACCGTTGTAACTATCTCAATAGGAAAAAGAAATTAATGATAGTCAGGCCTTGCTGCGGCATGCAACTTCGCGTTCCACAGGCAAAGTGTCAGGAGTCGGCACCACGGGGCAACAAACACAGCTCTCGTTTCTTCCCATGGAGAAATTTATGATTCTTTCATGGATCTTCTATTGCCAACATTAACCCAGGGAAATATCAATCATGTGGAATCAGGCTCCTTTCTTGAAGACCTAGTTGTGTGAAGGGATGGAGATTATTGTTTTCTCGCCAAGGCTGAGCTTCAGGGCTGATTGTTTTTGAAAGACGCCCACCGCAGACGACCAAGCCGCCACCAAAGCTTGCCCCAAGCCCCCCATTCATTATATGGGCCCACGAATCCAGTGCTGGTACGCTTCTCCTTCGTTTCTTATCCCCGCACCGTTAGAACTTTTGGGAGCCTGAGGTATACAAAATATCCCTTGCTGAAGTAAATTGCTATCTATTCTCTAATGAAAAGGAATAGATTCCAGTCCTTTTGTGGAAAGTTATATATATGTTTTCCTCATTTCCCGTGACATACTGTAGCGAATATTTGCCGATTGCCTAAGCACCCTGATGACAGGGCTCCAGAGTGCATTGGAACACTTCATCAGCCAGCACCCCACCATGACCATCGCGCAGAGCTTGGTAGGACGCTATCAATTAGGTTTCCAGTATTAGTGCCCCATATATAGAGGAAATTTTGACACAGTTGGTTCTGCCAGTAGCAACCAGAAAATATCTAGAAAGATGCGTAATTCAATCTGTGTTTGATGTTGTTACTTGAATCATGCCCTGCGGAGTCAATCGACACACTGTTTGGCCCACGTCCAGAGACGATGTATAAAATCAATATTGTAAACGGGACCATGGATCAAGATATGGATTTAACTTCTTGGCGAAAAAGTAATAACTGTCAAATAGCCTGGTAACTACTGAGCAAGGATCTCAAGCACTCTAATTCCATGCAGTTGCTGTTCCTAGGGATGCCTACGATGTCTGGTTGCGGCTTGCTGTATGATGAAACAGAGTATCTGGCACGGCATTTTAACCACGACTAACCACGGTTCTGCAGTAGGAGGATGAATAACAGCGCGAGAACATCGAGACTTCAAGGGAGAAGAACCTTGGAATTGTGGGGCACAACTTCAACTACGGACGGTTAGGCCTGCGTTAAGGCTGTGGATACCTCGGCAGTTACCGATCACAGTCAAACCTTGTTGGACGTCTGAAGTGGTTGTATTGGTAGCCTATCTCAGGGATGCTCTATACTATTGTGCGGTGCGCTAGTCCATAATAGAAAGCCTAGGCTCCAACACCTCCCCTTGGACTAGCTATCATACAGACTAGCTACTGTCCTGCTCAAATCAATCATATCCATCATCTCTATCAATCCATCTTGTCTTCCAATTGCTGTATCCATCAAATCCTTTTCTTATTTCACTTATAACCTGACTGACTTCTCAAAAGTTCTTCAATATTTGAAGAAATTGTTGTAAAGAATGCTTGACTTGACTGACTTGCAAGTAGATTCTCTGTATTTTTATCTTTGCTCTTATCTCTATTCTTAGTCTTATTTCTATCTCTATTTTTCAATATCTCAATGCACTTCTTATTATGCTTCTGTTATTCAGTGCTTGCAAGATTTGAGTTCTTGAACCAGCAGTGTTTGATCATATGCTTTGTATTCTCACAGTAGTAATATTGACATTCATCAAATTATTCAGTGACAGCATTCACAGCAGATGAGTTGAAATGAGTTGTAGTGATAGTGACACAAGTAGTCAACTGATTCATCAATTCATCAAGATTCAGATTCTAAATAGAGTCTTGCTTGATAGCATAGAAATCATTCAGCTTTATTCTAACAAATTTCTGTTGTCAGTCTCTCAGTTCTAATATGAATAGATTATGATAGATACTTTCAGCTCAATTTTCATCTAAAGATACAAGTTTTGTCTTTAGATCTTGAAAAGTTGCAAAATAAATATGAAAATCATTGTTTTTAAGTCATAAGTCTCTTAACTTCTTAGTGATTTGAAGACATTCTTCTGCATGAGATATAGTGTAGTGCTGAGCAAGATTCTTTCATATAATTGCTGTTAGATAGAAATCTTCATCCAGTGATTTCAGAGAATCACATATAATTGCATTTAAAGATTGAAAGATTCTTGTGTAAAGAAGTTCATTTTTCTTATTTCAAAGCTCAATTTCCAGAGAAACTGTGATAGAAGATGCTGTTTACTGTTTATTGAGAACATTTTTTATCTGAATCAAATAAGCATCTGCAAGAATAAAGCTTTTTCATTTTAGATAGTTGACTTCAGTGAGAATGACTGCATGTTTTTCTTTCAACTTAATCTTTATATCTTTGCAAAATTCATTAACTTTATTCTTGATAAGATTCTTAGTAGTATTTGACAAGAAATCTGAGTTTTTTTGTAATCTTTGTATAAGTCTTTCTATCTGTCTGTTTTGTTTTTTTATATATTTCATCATCATTCACATCATATTCATATTGCTTTCATTCATATTTATTTTATTTTTTTGACCAGTTTCTCCCTTAGATTCAGAGGTAGATGTATTGTATTCATGTTCATCTCTATTCATGTTGTTGCTTGCAGGGGTATCCAATGGTCCTGCAGCTCATGTTCTTGAAGACATCTGTTTACCTTCTCTTGATTCAATCTTTTCCCTGTAATCAAAGCTTTCAAAACAGTCACTTTTCATCAGATTCTTGCTGTAATTCAGCAATACAGTCCCCATGAGACATTTTATACCTCAGATTAAAGAAGAAGAAGAAATAGAGTGCAGAAGTAGTGTGGAAGACTCTTCAAAAAGAAAAACAAGCTATCCAGACCATAACCTGTTGGACATCTGAAGTGGTTGTATTGATAGCCTATCTCAGGGATGCTCTATACTATTGTGCGGTGCGCTAGTCCATAATAGGAATCCTAGGCTCCAACAAACCTTGACTGGCATGTCACATGACAGGTGTTAGTCATCCCCTCGCTGTAATTAATTAACTAACAAGTTATTCCCGCTTTATTCCCGCAATTTTCCCTGCTCGAAATTCCCTCCTTTTCCTTGACAACTGCACATAAGATCAACAACAACTCCCCAGGGCGCTCCCTGATGATCCAGCACTCTCTCCCACCAACCAAGTTTCCTCCCTTCTAGCAATTGACGTTGCTGTCCCCATATGAGGCAATCAAGCGTGACGACAACCGGAAAGAAAATTTAAAATGGGGATCCCATTCCTCGTCTCTGTCGACCCGCAAACCCTCTCTTCCACCTCTCCCGCTGCACATCTCACTATCAAACAGATTTCCTACTTCGGTCGCGTTCTCTTGAAACCCTCCAGTTTAAACCAAGTCATCTCCTTCGTTAAGCAATTCTCCTCGCTACTGGATATCTACGCTGACGCAACGACAATCGATTCTGCCGGCGATGTTGTTGATATTCTCAATTCGGGCGCATCTAAAGTGCTGGTTACACCAACCCAATTGACCACATTAACAGGGGAACAGGCGGTTCCCTCATCGAGGTTGATCATTTCCGTTTCGTCCGCGATCGGGGCTGGCGGATTGCAGAGTTGGATCGCAGAGGATGACGAGAGGAAGGACATCGGTCTGCACTGTGTGGTTTCTTCGGTTGTCGATGACGTTGTGGAGGAAGTAGTTGAGAGGGGGTTTGTTAAGGATGTTTATCTTTCATACGATGGAGCCGAGGCTGTGACAAAGGCAGCTTTGAACTCGAGTCGGAAGGAGAATGTCGTGACAGTTGTCCCTTCGATTGCTCTATCCCTTGATAACGGCGATGCCTCTCCTGCAAAACTACTGATTGCAGGCGCCACTGCAGACCAGACAACGGGTCTCTACACTACCGTGGTGACAGATGAAAGAGGGGTTGCGCTGGGCCTGGTTTATAGCAGTGAGCATAGTATTTCTGAGGCGCTGAAAACCGGAACTGGTGTCTACCAAAGCAGGAAGCGTGGCCTCTGGCATAAGGGCCAATCTAGTGGATATACGCAGGAACTGGTCCGAGTTGACTTCGATTGTGACAGTGACTGCTTACTCTTCGTTGTCAAACAAAAAGGGAGAGGTAGGTTTTTATTTTATTTTCATTTCTCTATTATTTCGGCTCTCTTCTACTCTTTAGCTAACTAAGAATATATTTCCAGGATTCTGTCATTTGGGAACTGCAAGCTGCTTCGGCCAATATAGAGGGTTATCACGTCTTCAGAAGACTCTGCAATCTCGCAAGGAAAATGCTCCATCCGGCTCGTACACCGGTAGGCTTTTCAACGACCCAAAGTTCGTCCAGGCCAAAATCATGGAGGAGGCGGAGGAGCTGTGCAATGCGGAATCGAAGGAGGAGGTAGCTTTTGAAGCTGCTGACCTGCTGTATTTTGCTCTTACCAAGTGTATCGCTGCGGGTGTAACTCTGGAGGATGTCGAAAGGAATTTGGACCTGAAGAGTCTGCAGGTGAAGCGGAGGCAGGGCGATGCTAAACAGGGCTGGGCCAAGAAAGTCGGCCTTGAGTCAACAAAAGAGGAACAGAAGAACAAAGTTGAACCCACAAACGCTAATGACGTCAACCGCAAGATCGAGATGCGGCGCATCGTGACTGCAACAGAATCCCAGGATACGTTGGAGGAGGCTCTGCAGCGTCCTTCTCAGAAATCTAACGACGCGATCGTGGCTCTTGTTAAACCAATCATCGAGGACATCCGGAAGAACGGGGACGCAGCCGTTCTGAAGTACACTCACAAGTTTGAGAAAGCGACTTCCCTTACCTCACCAGTCATCAAGGCGCCATTCCCAGCAAGCTTGATGCAAGTTACCCCTGAGACCGCCAATGCCATCGATATTAGCTTCGAAAACATCCGCAACTTCCATGCTGCGCAAAAGGATGACAAGCCACTGCACGTCGAGACCATGCCCGGTGTTGTGTGCTCTCGATTTTCCCGGGCCATCGAAAGAGTGGGTCTATACGTCCCTGGCGGAACAGCGGTCCTCCCATCCACAGCAATGATGCTTGGTGTCCCTGCCATGGTAGCTGGATGCAAGAAGATTGTCCTGGCCTCCCCACCACGATCCGATGGCAGCATCTCCCCCGAAATCGTCTACATCGCACACAAAGTCGGAGCGGAGAGCATCGTGCTGGCCGGAGGCGCACAGGCAGTCGCAGCCATGGCATATGGCACTGAGAGCATCAGCAAGGTCGACAAGATCCTCGGGCCAGGAAATCAGTTCGTAACAGCTGCAAAAATGCTCGTGTCAAACGACACATCAGCCGGAGTTAGCATCGACATGCCCGCAGGCCCTAGTGAAGTTCTTGTTGTCGCTGACAAGAATGCTAACCCGGCCTTTGTCGCGTCTGACCTGCTCAGTCAGGCTGAACATGGTGTCGACTCGCAGGTTATCCTGATCGCTGTCGATCTGGATGACAGCCATCTGAAAGCCATTGAGGAGGAGCTGCATGCACAGGCCATGGCGCTGCCACGTGTGGATATCGTGCGTGGTGCGATTGACCACTCCGTCACCTTTGTCGTCAAGGACATCGATGAGGCCATCGCGCTGAGCAACCGCTATGCGCCCGAGCATCTCATTTTGCAGGTAACGAATGCGGCTGATGTTGTTCCTCTGGTACAAAATGCCGGAAGTGTCTTTATTGGTGAATGGACTCCGGAAAGCGTGGGCGATTACTCTGCTGGTGTTAATCATTCTCTACGTAAGTTACCCTCCCCGCCTCCTTTCTAGTGTACAAATTATAATCGACCGTCCCCAAAACTAACCTTTTGCCCAATCCAGCAACCTACGGCTACGCCAAGCAGTACTCCGGCGTCAACCTCGCCTCGTTCGTCAAACACATCACCAGCTCCAATCTCACTGCTGAGGGACTGCGCAACGTGGGTGGGGCAGTTATGGAGCTGGCGTCTGTGGAAGGGCTGGATGCCCATCGCCGCGCTGTCAGCATTCGCCTCGATCACATGGATCCTTCTAGGAAGTGAAGGCCTTTGCTACGCTATCCGTGTTGTAGTAGCTGACGAAGAGATGAGAAGTGATGCGCGAGGATGAAATATTTATTCTCTTTTCTTCGTGTCGCGAACTTCTCTATCTCTTATACCCTTTTTTTTCAACCTTTTCGACCTTGGTGTTTATGTTTTCGTTTCCTTAACGGATAATTCTCTTCACCCGTTTTTGGGTTATTTGATAGAACCGTTAGTTTAGCTATAGGGATTAGAAGGACCCATCCGGGGAAGGGGATACTAAAAGTTTGAAAAGGGGATCAAAACGGGAAATGAATTATTAAGACAGGCACCGGAGGAAGTTAATGAATGCTGAACTCGGATATAGAAGTGTTGATGAAGGAATGACTATTTTAGTTATAACTAGCCGTGAAATGAAGATTTTACAGAACTCATGAGCATGCTGTTCCCACCCCAGCAGTTTTGATGCCCTAAACTGACCCATTTCAACTGCTCGAGCAATTCCAGCGCATCCATAGATATTCTCCGTAGGAACTGAGCACAGCAAAAGCGAACTCCGCTTGTAAGGGGTGAACGATCAACATTCATGTTCGGCAGTAAACTTAATTAGCGTGCCATTTTAGGGGAACCTCGGGAACTTCAACCACCGCAACCACTGCAAGACCCGCTACAACTACAACAAAGACTGAAAGGAATGCGTACAGATAGGTCAAGCAGCGTTGTTATTATCATTCTATTCTTCTCCTCCAGACCAGTGCTTCTAGAAACCATTCCTTTCTTTATTCCTTTGTTGACGGATTTGTGTAATCTCAGATTGACGGGTGCGGAGTAGCTCAGAAAGGCTCTGGCTACTGTACTAAAAAGCTGTCCTGGATTGAATTCCAAGTATTCAACACCGTCTACGTGAACAGATAAAGTCGAAAAATAAGGGAAATTGAACAGATATAATAGTAATAAAGAAGAGATATGAAGCCCCAAGGCCGTACATTCATTATATCAGGCGGGTAAGAAATCAATTCCCCGATGACATATATCACCGCAATCCCCCAGCTCTAGATATCTAAAAAGCATCCCATCCCTCCAAAGTCCAATTGAAAACAAACATAGACAACTAACATGACAAAACAATCCCCAGGTCCTCCGGCCTCGGTCTCGCAACCGCCACGGCTCTCCTCGCCCAAGGCGCCAACGTGTCCCTCTTCGACATCAACCCCCCACCCCCAACCTCCCCCCCTTTACTCACAAACTCGACCCGCACCCTCTACACGCGCACAGATGTCTCCAACACCGCAAGCCTCCAACACGCCATCGACGCCACCGTCACCTGGATCTCGACTTCCACGCACGCTGACCTGGGCGGCGTCATTTGCTGCGCGGGTATTGGATACGGCGAGCGTGCATTGCCGCGGCAAGATCCCAATACCACTTCCCCTGGCGGCAAAAAGATAGTCAAGACAATGTCCATAGAGGCATTTGACCGGGTCATCGCGATTAACCTGCGTGGTACGGTGGACCTGATACGGCTTGCCCTGCCACACATGGCTGCCGTGGAGGGCGAAGGGGACGACGAGGAGCGGGGTATTGTTGTGGTTGTGTCGAGCTTGGCGGCATATGAAGGGCAGGTTGGTCAGTTGGCGTATTCGGCCAGTAAGGCGGCTGTGGCGGGGATTGTGTTGCCGTTGGCCAGGGAGGTGGGGAGGTCAGCGGGAGTTAGGGTTGTGGGTGTTGCGCCGGGGGTGTTTCAGACGGGGATGACGACGAGGCCGAGGAAGGCGGCGTCGGGTGGTGAGGGGGCTGAGAAGAGGAGGGCTGGAGTTGCGGAGAGGAGTGGGGTTAATACAGGGATGATTGAGTATCCGATGCGGATGGGGAGGCCGGAGGAGTTTGCGGAGTTTGTGTTGGCGTGTGTGAGGAATGGGATGGTTAATGGGAGTGTGTTTAGGTTGGATGGAGCCGTCAGGATGCCTAGTAGACTATAAGTCCTCGGAGCGAAGGGTTGGTGGAGGGTAGAAAGGAATCTATTTTTGATAGGTGTATATATTTGATGGTGTTGGTGTATATACTTGGGATTGGGCATTTGAAAAGACGACGATGTTGATAACTGTTTATCCATTCCTTGCCTCACTTTTAATTATCACGTATAGATCGCCGTATTTGCGCCTGATGTAAATAAACCTATCTTTTTTCGTTCATAACCTTCAGCAAGATATCTCCACATTAAAATCACACCAGAACAAATGCAAAAGAGAAAATAAAAAAGGATACCCTCATTTCTTCCGTTCCCTAATCTTCCATTTGATTCCATACTTATTAACCCCCCCAACTGAATTCTCCATCTTCGCCCGTTGTCGATCCAGCTCCCGCTCCGCCGCAACGAGCTCCTTATGCTGCATCCGCAGCGCCTCCAGTTTCTTGCTCCGGACCTCAGCTGCTCTTTTCTTCAATCTTCTTGCCGCCAAAATCTCCTTTCTAGCCCGTTCCTCCGCTTCTATTTGCTTCTTAGATTTCTGTGCTTGTCTCTGCTTCTCTCCAGACGACTGCTCCCCTTCTTCATCCCCATCCCCATCCACATCCCGATCGCCATTCTCCCTGCCCTTCTCCTCCTTTAACCGCTTCTGCTCCTGCAACGAATCCGCAAAAATAATCTTCCCCCCCTTTGCGCCCTCAAACACCCCACTTATCCCATCCTGTAACCTAACCTCCTGCTCCACCCTCTCCAACTGCCTCCGCACTCTCTCGCCAACAACCCTAAGATACCCCGCGTCCTGCGTCTTGAGCAATTTAATCGCCTCATGGCTAAGATTTGCAGCAGTCTCTGAACCTCTGGCGCCATGGCGGCCCTGTGTCTTGGTTTTGTCGGACATCATACCGAACGCAAATTCGTCTGGGTTGCGGTCTCGCGCTTTCTCACGCAGGCGCTGTAGTTTCGCCTTTTTGACGTTGTAGTCGCGGGCGCGGAGGGAATAGTCCTTCAACAATGAGAGGATTTTATTAGCTTATTGTCTGCCATTTTTTGGGGAGGGGAGGAGGGGTTTGTTCTTAGGTTGCGTGTAGGATTGCCATCGAGCGAGGGCCGTCCAATTTTGAGACTCCATAAACAGATAGTTGAACTTGTGAAAATCTACCTTGTGCTTCTCGAGAATGCCCCATTTCTCTCGGCCGCTGGGCTGAGCCCGCTCCCGGTGTACCCGCCGTTGAACGGCATTCCGCATGGAAGACATGATATGGTGGTAGGGTGGTTGGTCGCGGATTGTGCGAGACCAGATCGCGGAGATTGATGGGGGGAAAGGAGAACTAAATATATGTGAAGGAAGCCACTAGTTACGGCAAACCGGAATAAAATATTTAATACGTTCTTTGCATCCCTCCTGACCAAGCACCAGACAAGACGTTGAGATATATATGCGTGGTGTGTGTATTGAATAATCAGAAGATTTCTTTTTCTCAAAAGGTTGGTTCACCATTTTTGGTTTGGGGGCAGCAAAAGCTTCCCGCCCGCGAACCCAACAACGACACCGCGCAATTAAATATTAAATATCCACCATAAACGCCCTCTAACAGAGAACCGCGTTCTAAATATCTCCGCACTGCATAGGCTCATGATGCATTGAGACCATTCGAAAACCCGAAATCACCCACACAATATTTATTTAGGCGGGCGACTTCGTCTCGTCCTCTTCACTCCTGGACATAATGGCTGCAAGCACAACAACGTCCACAGACACCGCCACCACAACTCCGCCAACCCCCGCCTCTCAACCATCGCCTCCAAACGTTAATATACGGAATCCCCTACCTCTATCGGCTTCGCAGGAAGCGCAAGTCAGAGATCTATACTATAAGCGGGTAAGGGGCTATTGCGCGGCAGAGATCAAAGGTGAGATTGTGTCATTTTATCTATGTGAAAGAATAAGAGGATATGATTTATATATCAACCATTTGATCACTGTGACGGTAATAATGGCTATGGCGATTTATTCAATTGTATTCTCTACTGTCACTGCACCCCGCGTGCTTGTTGTGTCCATTCAGACCGTGCGCACTGCTACTCAATCCCATCCCCTCTCGCTCTCCATCTTAAAAACCTCCCATATCCCAAATCAATACATCTAACCAAGCCCCTCCGACCCCCAGAATTTGCTGCCTGCGCCATAAACCGCACCATAACCGCAACATGGGTATGTCGCAAGCAACGCCTTGCCATGAACGCCTGCATGGTTGAGCACGCCAAGCCCGAAGTGGAGGATCGCGCTCGCGAAGAGTGGTTTGCCGGTCGTGAGGAGCGGAGGAGAGCTCGCGAGTTGCAGAGAAAGAAGACTGAGGAGCGGCAGAGGGAGGTTATGCAGATGACGAGGGATGAGGAGGAGAGGAGGAGAAAGGCGACGGCTGAAGGGGCGGCAGCTAATGGGAAAGGGAAAGGGTGGTTTGGATAGGGATGGTTTTTGTGGTGGGTTATATATTTAATATATACACACATTTGTACATGGGTTTGTTTTTGGTGGCCATGCCGCCGAAATTGTATCACTATGCATCTTGGGGTGTTGGGGGCATTCTTTTTGGATTCTTTCTCCCTATCATTTTTCTTCGGGATTCGAATGAAGATAAAAGGATCACTGCTTTTGTTTTTCTATTCTTGGAAACCCTTTTGTATAAATACAGTTCGTATAGCAGGCGTTTAGATCTCCGCTAACAGAACATTCCACCGTAGGTATCATATCCTTTACATTTTCTTCCGATGTCTCTCACCCAACCAAAACTACCATGACGCCCCAGGCCTTATTGCTCTTTGTAATTAAAATAAAAAAAAAAAAGACAGATGAAATGCCCATCCTGATCCGTAAAAAGAATAGGAGCACAACTATGAAGAAGGATATGGCAAGTTCAGGGCGAAAAAAAAGGCGAACAATCAACGACCCCGCCCCAAAAAAAGGGGCGTACCCCCAAATTCCCGAAACAGGGGTATTAGACGTCCGTCATCGTTTTATCCTCATCCTGACCCTCCCCATCCAGCTCCCCATCACCAAATATATCCTCCATCGTGCCATCCCCATCGTCTTCATCCTCCCCTTCTCCTCCATCCTCAACCCCGCCGTCCTTCGCAAAGGTTCCAGTCCCACCAACCCCAATCTGCTGCGTATTATTAACCTCAACCTCCATCTCCTCCTCTCCCTCGCTCTCCCATTCCTCCTTCAACCCCCACCCGACCCCAGTTAAACAAAACCGTTCAGGCGGCAGCCTCATACCGCCCATCATGATGCTACCAGCCGACGAGGCCACAGCGGCGGCTGCAGCTGATGACCCCCCATCAATACCCCTCATGACACCAGGTAACATCATCCGATTCCTCTCCGCAGCAACTTCCATGAGAAACTCCTTAGGCAAACCGGGCTGGAACTGATAATGTAGACGCGACGCAATGCTCATCCGCAGAGCACCCAGACTGACAGTGCTGAGATCCAGATTGCCATGCTGCGCCGCCTTGGCCTCCGCGCCACCCTTGGTGGCAGTATTACCAGCAGACTCACCAGGGTACCCTTCCGTAGCAAGATATACGGCATCCTGCAGCGTGCTGGAGGTATATCTGTAGGCAAAGTCGAGGAGTTGGAGGGGTACTCGTTCTTGGTAGGCGGTTACGCCGAGGGAGGCGAGGAGCATGTGGATTAGACGGGCGTCACGAGGCCGGCGCGATTTGCCTGTGTCTTGTAAAGAGGTTGCGGGGACTTGGGCTGGGTTGTTTGAGTTGGCGGGAGTGAGTGTGGAGGGGTTTGCGGGGTTGGTGGCGTGATTGTTTGGTTGACTCGAAGAGTTGTTGTTGGCGGAGGAGGGAGCATCGGCGGGAGGTGTGAGAGGTTGACCTGAGGAAGCAGCTGCGCCTGCATTTGCATGTGGTGAGGCCATAATTATTATGGCTTATGGGACTGCGGCGCAATTGAAGTTGTTTGTGCGGTTATGCCGCTTTCGGAGGGTTGTTGGCCTCCCGGCGTATGAGGTTCAAGATGCGGACTAGCTTCGATGGTATTTGCATATGTCCTATGTGGCTGACAGAATGGCCTTTGAAGCTAGGAATAATGGGTATGATCAGGGTATCTGTGTTGGTGTTAGTAGAGAAGAGGATGCGGTTATTGCTTTGGTATTAGCTGCTTGAAGTGAATGGAAACATTGAAGCTTCGAGTCGGCTTCGATGTATATTAGGTAAGCAGCAAGAAATAAGAGCCTAACCCCTTAAGGCATAGTGCGTATGGCGGTTCTAACAAAGTAACCTCGGAAAATGCACCACCAAAATCAATCCGTCAAGATACGACAAAAAGGCTGTATCAGCTTGTGATACTATTCCTCTATCAATTCTAAGGACATTGATATATATATATATATATATAAAGGGTGTAGCAAAACAACATTTCGAGAGCCGCACCATAAACAAGTTGACAGAATGCCAACGGCTGGAAGTCGACTTGTGTGTATGAACATATATAAGTAGAAAGAAGAGAAAAACTCCCTGCTAATGCAATCGCATGACATCAATATCACCCAATGAGTACCAAGCATATCAAGACATTAATGCAAAAAACTCCAACTCGATGTGAAAGTGCAATTTCCAGGGCGATCCGAGTACTCTCTCCTGTACATAGCAAGCAGCTCTGAAGAGACATCGCTTATGTTGTTTGATTTGACTCCTCCGTCAACCCTTCGGAAGGTGCTTTCCCACTAAATGACAACTTAGCAAGTCGGGTAGCTTCAGTTGCGTCCGTTTCTGCATCAGCGTCAGCGTCCGCATTCACATTGTCTCCGTTTTCGTTTTCATCCTCAAACTCGTCCTCTTCATCCAAATCGGACAGTTCAGCCTGATCTTCAGAGACAAACTCGACTATCGAATCAGCCATATCTCCAGGTCGATCTATAGAATCCCTTGAGATGTAGCTATCGCCCAGATCACCTTGGTCATCTTCGTCGTACATTTCACTTTCTTCCCCCTCGCTTTCTTCGTCTTCACTAGCATCCTCTTCGCCATCGCTTGCCACGCTGGAATCCGTGGTGGAAAAATTATCCAGATCTCTAGGTGTATCTCGCCAATATGTGAAGTCTGTGAACTCCTCCCCTCCTTCTTGGACAAGCATTGAGACCGGTGGGAAGAAATGGTCGACAAGTTCCCGCATTGTGACGTAGCTGCTCCTGTATTTGTTGAGGCTCAACAGGTCCAGTGAAACTTCCGCATTGGAGTTGATTGTAAATATTCTCGAGGACGGTATATTTACGGATCGATAACTTAGCGCGTCTGTGAGTCGATTCCCAAACCCGGCATAGAACGGGTTTTTCCTTCCACGGAAAAGACTCAGAATATCACGAAGGCATGCCATCTTGAACACCTCTGGTTTCCTTAGATATATCTCGCGGCGTAGGGCGGCGATTGTCCTGTCAGGGCTCATTATAACGGGGCCTTTAGGGAGCTTATAACCCTCCTGGGCGATCCCGCTAAGGTAGGTTCGCGTTGTGTCGGCTTGGCCAGTTGATCTACTTGTTAGATACATCAAATTATACCCGTTGCTCACGATATCTGTGTACAATTTGGCGACCCCGATGTGTGTCCAATCACGACCTATCATGTTAAGCACATGGCCAAGGGCATCAGACCTGGATGATACATTAGCATTTAGAAACTGAGATGAAATTGAAGAAACGCTGAGGACAAATATACTTTGTAATTGTGCCATCGATATCAGATATCACGATAGGAACTTTATAATTCCATAAATACATCGTGGCAGGGCATGTGGCTTTGTTGACACTGAAGGCCATTTCATTGGCGCCGGGTTTCAAGTTCAATGCCTTGAGCTGATCACTTGTAAGCCTCAGAGTCTTAGCATAATTGCGATTCTGTTCTGCTGTTTCTCCATCGAGAGGAGTTTGTGGTGGGGTTAGAATTCCACCCTGGACGTCGGAGTGCGAGCGGTGGTGCCTCTGGGATGGCTGGTTCTCCCCAAGACTTTGTTCACTATCACTATGATAGCCCGGGTCGGAAATCGCATCCCCCATTGCGCTAGCGGATCGCAATGACGACAGAGTTGCTCTACGGCTGGCAGCCTCCTTTGACTCCTCACTGCTGTATATCCATAGATTTCCATGTTCATCTGCACCGATCAAGGCTCCAATATCATAGTTTCCTTCAAGCTCCTCTGCGAGGATCTTTCGAGCGATTATTTCAGCCCGAAGCGCGTCCTCGTCACTACTCTTGTAACCAGTCATATCCAACATTAGATCCCCACTTTCTGTAATGTGAGACGGAATATTGGATATAGACAGCTTTCTTGAGAGTGCCATGGCTCGCAACAGGGCTTCTTCGGTTGTGATGGAAGGAGGACTACGAGATCGCTGAGAAACGGGACTCTTGTCCTGCAGGACTGGCTGTTGCAGCGTACTCTTCGCCTCAAATTCCCCTGAAGGTTCAAGCCTTCTTGAGGTCGATACGGTGGTTAAATCCTCCGAATGAGCCCGATCCAACGAAGGGGCTGAGGTCAACCAGGGAGCTGCATGCGGGGGTTGAGATGATTCATTGTCGGAAAATCTGGAGAGTGGTGTCATAACTCCTGCAAGAGATTATTAATACAGCTGCAGAAAAAGGCAGAAATGCACAAAGTCATACCCAAATCACTTTTGGCTCTCCCAGTCGCTGAGAGAGCAGGGGAGGTAGAGAGCAGACCCCTGTCATTTTCAACCAAATTATTTGTTTTCTCGTTGGTAAGGTCCAGATAGTCTGGCTCTTGGAGAGTGGAGCCATTGCGATCTTCATTCAAACCAGGTTTAGGGCTCGCTGCTGGGGAAATCAGGGGCGACGTTTGCAGTGACTCAGGGATGTCTTCCGAGGTCTCGAAGACGAAAAACGCCTCCCCGCCTTCTCCAAGCTTCATAGAATACTCCTGCTTAACTCCATTTACTCGGAATTCCACCTGTTTATATGGATAAGCATTCTGCGTACCGATAAGGGGGTGGGGACGCATATAACACCATTCCTTCCAAACCGTACCTTTTTCTCATAAGGGCGCAGCAGAGAGAATTTGCCGAATCGAACGTGGAAGGGGGAGCAGGCCAGCGTCCCTTGGGGGGCGATTAGCTTAGCTTAAGTGAGATCATATCTGACAGCAGAGACATGTCAAACTTACCATCCTCCTGCTCAATAACAATCACATCGATGGCTCCGCTCAGCGTTGCTGGATTGATAGAGTTCCATGTCTTGGAAACCGAACCGCTGATGCTGCGGACGTACTGCATTCCTGGATCACTCAACGAAGGAAGTTGACAAGATAAACCCAAGTCAAAATATCCGCCTCAGAAAGAACTCCAACGACGCAGCCTAACCCAAGAACTTTATGATACAGGGAAACGAGCGCGAGAATTTCGAACCAAGGCCGTTGGCTTACTGCGGAGCCGGGTTGGCCATGTGACGGTGCGATGGAGATTGCGACGTTAGACTTTTAGTGTGGGGGAAAGGAACCAAGTACGGGATTACGGATAGGATGTATATGATTGAAAGGACTACACGGAGAATACGGGGGTCTGAGGGTCTGAAGATCTGAGGATCTGGGAATTGGGGAGCTCTGGGAATTGGGAGGAATCTGGGAATGGGAATGATGGTTGAAGGGAGTTCGCCCGCTCAACAAAGACGGTAGTTTAACTAGGGGTTGTGTCATTGCCGCGGGCTGATTAAGCATACCGTGGAAAGCGCGGCCATGTGATCTCGATGCTGGTTCTGGTTGGGAACTTATATATAGATCTTAGGGAGTCCAACTCATTTTACCCAACAGGAACAGATCAAATATCTGCTTTATTGAGAAAAATTTAAAAAATTAAAAAATTAAAAAAATAAATTAGAAATAGCAATAGAAATAAACACAAGTCTCAATCCTGTGTTTTCGACCATTTTCGAGCTGGAAAACTTAATTAGAATTTTGGTTATAAATTTAAGCGCAAACCAGTGAATAACACTTCGGGGACAAAAATTCAGGAAGCCTAACTTATGTACGGAGCATTGTATAACGAAGTATATCCATAGTAGGTTTCCGGATATGTTTTACGAAGTGTATCAAATTGTCTCAGGAGAATGATCTCTTTTACCAGTGTCTACATGAAACACTTGGAGAAATGGCTAAGCATTTAGAAGCGACGAAGAGCAGGGTGGTTACTGAGCCAAAATGATTTGATACAGTAAACCTCTCTACAGTGAAATTTGTTAACTATTCCATTGTATTTTCTATATAATCCATTATATTGAGTCAAAATGCCACTCAGGACTGCAATTTCAGTTGATCAAAAGACAGCTCTGCACAGTGATAAATTGTGGAATTCAACCCTCAGCAACAAGACCTTGAAGACATTGTTTTTAAATGCTATATAACCAGAAGATCACTCTATTCTCTGTCTCGGACATTCTTTCTTCATGTTATGATCATCTTGATCAGACAGTCCACTGTTCTTTGAAGCAGAAGTGCTACCAACGGCATATTGTTGCACTATTAGACTCTTACGACGGGAGTGATGAGGATGAGGATATGGGTGTAGAAACCCTTCCACGGATTACAGCTTCGGAGGCTTTGAATTTGGTAAAAATCGCTTTGTATGAGGAGCAGCAGGATCAGGGAGACCTAATTCAACAACTTAACTACTACGAGAGAAGGTTAGAAGCATGGAAGCTTGAAAATCAGCAGCAGCAGGATATTCAGGCGTACTTTGAACACTCAGTCTCTATATAGCGAATTCCTCCATAACGAACTGAATAGGCTTCCAAGATTAAATCGTTATAGAGAGGGTTTGCTGTAGCTTCAAAAATTCCTGTGATAACTAGGCAACCAAGAAATGGTATCTGTATGTTGCCTTTTGATCGTCATTTCATCTCCAGGCCGAGGCTGGAAATGTGATCGCTCTTCTGCATTCATACTATTATAAGCAAAAGAATATCCTGCAACTTTTCAAAAGACTCACTCCTTCTCAAGTCATCAACGATATGGAATAATAATCTTGCTTGGCACTTATTCCATTAACGTCGCAAGTCTCAGACTCTTAAGACAAACCGAGGCACAATTCATTCATTTGGTGCGAGTTTCGCGGCTCCCAACGTCGTTCGTTGCTCTAAACGCATTTGGGATAGTGTATTTAAAGCTTAAATTCCGAGGTTGAGCTTAAACGGCCCGGGCGAACGATACGCCGCGCTCTCTTCGATTGGAAGTCACGCGGGAAATCATTATGACCGTATGCGGATATTCTTTAATCCCACTCCGAAATCCTAAATCGGCGAAATACATTTTAGCCCGAGACTTCAAGGCTCGAAACGAGACACCGACGACTTCACGGAGGATCTAAGAGCCTTCACCTCCTCAGACTACATAGCCATATCTGCGGATGAGCTATGCATGGTAGGCATGTATGAGTCAATGCGTTTTGTATCGGATAGCTACCCCAGCGTAGTCCCGATCGTGAAAATACGACGTGCGATGGCCCTCTTCGTAGCTGCCGCGATTCTATCTGCTCTGATATGGTAAGTCAATCAGCGCCCACAGTGCCGCGACCAACTACACACGTCTAATCTCACTTGGCCTAGGCTTCTATACCGTGCATATCAGGTTTGTCAAACGCCCAACGATGTTTTGGTAGAAAAATTAGGCTTGGATATACCCCCCGCTCCCCATGTCACCTTGGAAGAGATTACCGCGAGGATGATTCGTGTGTCCTGGAAACTTCCGGATTTGCAACATTCTATTCACAAGCACCTTATCCAGGTCAATGGGATCAAAGGTTCGTCCTGTATACATTTCTAAATATGACATTGCAAATATATTAACTGTCATTACAGTTGGTGAGACAAAACGTTTGGAAACAGGTGTTACCATATCCAATCTCGCTCCAGGCCATATATATCATATCTGCGTCTCTGCCGTTAGCGCTGCCAATTTCCAAACATCAAGCTCGCTCCTTCATGTCCGTACAAGAGCTCTGTCGATCTCCGAGCCCCATGAAGATGAAGGGGAGGGTGGTCCAATTATTCGGGCTTACATAACTAGGCCGCCGGCTCCTTTGGTTTCACCGTCTGCCCCAGTGATGTTCAGGGACCACAGCAGCGGGCAGATTCAGCGAAAACGCTCCACGGGGAACAGAAAATCGTTCCCATCTCCCAATACAGGTCCAGAGCATGCAATGCATACAGGCGCGGAGGATTGTCAAAAAGCCGGCGATGTTGATGATTCCGACGAGAATCTTGCGCTGCTAGCCGAACGCCTCAGGGATTTACAACAGGAAAATGAAACTTTAGAAAAGCAAATCTGCATGGAAGAGAAGGAACATGAGCTAACGTTACGAGAAATAGAGGAGCAGCGGAACGAAGTCAGACAACGAGTGAAGGAGAAAGATGAAGCCAGTGGGGACCTCAGAAGACACGTCAATAGACTAGAAAGCATCAATCGTACAGTACAGAGTGAAAAGAGCAAGAAGGAAAGACTGTTGCAACAAAAGGAGGCAGAACGCCAAAAGCGTAAGGAGGATATCATCCGATGGAATAAACAATTAGTCGTCCTGCATGGAAAAATATCCCGAGTGAAAGAGGAAAAAGCTCAGATTGAGTCAGAGGCTCTAAAACAAGTCAAAGAGTATCGCAGCAAGATCGAACACGAACAGGCGGAAATGAAAACTCTAGATGAAGACATTAAAGTGAAAGGAAGTCGGATCAAGGACATGGAAGAGGAGAGACGCCGTCTAGAGGGTGACGATACCGATGATGGAAGAGAGCTTGATCGATTGGAAAAGGAAAAAGATAATTTTTGGGAAGTTAAATTGGGGAACCTGCGGACTCAATATGCCTCACTCATCAAAGTCCACTCTAGGGTTAGTTAATCTTACGGTCTCAAATAAGATTTTCAATTTTTTGTGCTAACTGTACCCAGGCCCAGCAACAGTACCAGGAAGCCCAAGAGCGTCTTGGATGGGTTTCCTCCCATAAATCGAATTCCGGGGTTCCGTTTGGCCCTCTTCCTTCATTAGATTTGGATCTGACCCACCGACCTAGTCTTCATCGTCGTTCTCGTCATCGCAGTTCCCTTGTGAGCAACGTTTCGTCTCCCGTGAGCTATCATCTTATGGATACCTCGTTTTCCAATGCATCAAATTACAATGCTGCTGGAAATGGGTCACCAACATTTGCTCCCGGGCCGGCATTCTTCAACATTAACAACGGGATGACTATTCCAGACCCATCTAATCAGTCACCTGTCAATCGCATTGATGCTGATACACTAGCGAGCATTCCACCTATGAGTCCACGAGCAGATTCTCTCCTACCTTCCGATCTACTTGGTGACGAAGAGCAGGCATCAGCATCTCGCCCTCCTACCCAATTTTCCAGAACGGCCGTTTTCGATAACCTTCTTCCCAACTCTCCCTCACCCATATCATCTGGAAGCCGCCCCGAAAGTTTATTTACAAGCCCACGCGAAAGCCAAAGCAACCTACCGGAGAATGCACTCAATTCCATGCCGGTGTCAAACATACCGTTAGCTCAAGAGGCCTCTGAGAACGTACAAAGCGCATCTCGTCGGCTGTCGGGACTTCTTAATTTTCATCGTCAAAGGGGCAAAACCATGGTAGATGGACTACCCATGCTTGGGACTCTGAAGCCCGCCCAGAGTCAATCGTTCCCACGAAATCTCGATGAAGGACTTGATCCAATAGGGACAAGACGGCGTCGGCTTAGCTATACGGGCAACTGGGCGAACCCGGTAACAAATCTATTCCCCCGCAATGCAACCACTCATGTCACTAGTGATAGTTCGTCTGACCGGCTACCTGCGGGCCGCAGAACGATGTTCCCTAATTTCTTCAGCTCCGGGAAACTGGCGTCTGCAACATCAAGCGCTCTAGAGAAACCAACGATAGACCGTACTGACCTAGGCACTGGATATAACCAATTCAGCGCCAGACATGACCCTATAGATCCGTCTATACTCGGAACTGTTCGTCGCGGATCGTTGTCTCCGAGGCCTACTTCTACCTACTCGTTTGAGAACCATCAGCTTCCACGTCCTACTACGGATAACCACCAGCCATTTGGATGGCCATCGACAGACAAATCGGGACAGAGAGGTAATCCACTTGGCCTCGACTGGTCATCTCCTACAGCTTGGTCCCGCAGCCAGTCCCGCCGGCCCTCCATCCAGTTTGGGTCATCAGGAAATTTACCCTTAGGGTTGGCCGCTACCGACGTAGATTTTCTCGGGACCCCATACGAGCTACAACGACCAGTACAAGCTCCTATTGGGACGCGCCCACCATCATCTCACCGACCAGTCACACCAAAACTTAACCCGACAGCACCTTCTTTCAAAACTATTTTTGGCAAGAAATCCGAGAGAACGAAAGCTAAAGAAGGAGAATCTTCAAAACCTCGCGACCACGATTTCAATGTCGAAGACAGCTCATCTCCAGAGCAGCGGCGTTCGAAAGACTCCCGTTCCAGCCGCACATCTGCAGCTGACTCCTATGAATCCTTGGAACGGTTATCATCAGGAACACCTTCGGAAGCGGTAAACCCAAAGGAGTCATTTATCCAGAAGATCACGCGGAAAAGCAGCTCGAGTAAGTTCAACATCGCCTGGAAAGATCGGGCGGGGTTATTTTTGAAGAAAGGCGACTCCTCGACTCAAGGCGACAATATCGATGAAGATGCCGTGACGTCGGATTCTCTACTCGGCAAAAGTGTTGATAGCTTATCTTTCAGCGCGGCGTCCGCGGACAAGTTGAATAAGAGCAGTTTGGGATTTGGTTTCATGCGGAAATCCAAGAAGGAGAAGGCTGCTAGTGACTCTGGTGAGAAGGCTAGTGAGACTGGGGATGAGTATCTCTCTGAAGATGCCTAATGGCTGGCTGATAGCACTTATCTCACATTGCTTTTTCTCGGTGTTTTTGTTTAAGATTTCAGAGTCTGTTATTTCAGCTCTTTTGATGGTTGGTTTGAGGACTGCATCACAGCAAATTTTTCCAGGGGAACACATGTTTCCATCTCTTTTTTGAAGACCCCAAGGAATTCAGATGGTCTTTTAAGCAAATCTACGAGAAAGCTCGAAAGGCTTCTTATGCATGTTTGTCGATGACAAGCAGAATGTGGAAGTAGCTGGAAATAGGATCAAATCATATGGTCCTACATTTCAGAGTATCAGGGCATAAACTAGGCGCATACATTCCTAAATAGTTGAAGTCATTGTATGATCCACATCGCAAGCAAGATATGTGGGCAGACAAAAAGAGCTTCGTGCTATTTGCAAAGATAAAAATAGGTTGCACGTCGCGCTTCCCAGCAGATATCATCCCTGGCAGAGGATGGTCTTTCGATCAGGGCTCGAAGAAGATGGCAATCTACGTAGGGTTTCACCAACGAAGCGGGCATCCGCTAAAATTACTCGTTGCGGATCAACCGCTTTCGGTGTTAGAAGAAGTGCCGTTTGTCATCTTTTGGCGGTTGTAGTCTCACATGAAACAGCTCCTGTTAGTGTAAACATACTCTACAGCCCATGGAGCTGACTGAAACGGAATCGTAGCTTTCATTCCTTAGTGGTACTCGGAGCTCAATATCGTTGTAGCGTTCGCTTCTCGCGCTGTCTGTCATTGGGGCGGGAGATATTTGAATGGTGGCAGAATCCTCACCGCCCAGGGGAATTATCCCTTTCTCTGCAAATGAAGACCTGGATAAACTGCGTTATAGGTACATTGAAGAAGGGATTGCACATTGGTTCTCCTCCCTTTCCAACTCTCCTATATACATCCATATGATATGATGGCAAACTCAAAGTAATCATCGTCCCCCTGTATCTCAAGGATGAGAAATGATAATTTTGCGTGAAGTTGTTAACAAAAACTCCCCCTTGCCCCCGCCCCCCAGGTACGAATATGTGAAGGCATTTGAACAGGATGACAATCTTCTTCCAAATACTTGGATTGTCGTCCGGATTGATGGACGAGGCTTCCATAGGTATGTGTTTCCTATTTTGTGATTTTCTTATCATTTATTCCGCTTTGTTTGCTCATGCACCTGGACGATGTAGAATAGGAGGCCACGAGCTGGAGCACTGCAAAGTATCCAACGCCTCCTTATTCCATGGAATGGAGTGCTGCTGAAAGGCGCAGACTTCATCTCTGACTGTAATCATGTTATATCCGTCGTTTATTTTTCCTCTTTCCGGCTTGAGAGTGATCGTTATTTTCTTCTCCCGCTAACCATACCTCTTCAGGTTTTCTGGCCGTTACCATTTCCAAAAACCCAACGATGAACGGGCTCTCAATCTTATGAATACCGCTGCATGTGCCGTTATGAAGGATCTGCCCGACTTAATCATTGCGTACGGCGTTAGCGATGAATATAGGTGACTTTCCTCTAGGAATAGCGACTAATTTACTGCGAGGTCGTGAAATTGATTTATGTGTCTGAGAAGCTTTGTTTTCCACCGGAATTGTCAGTTATTTGAGCGGAGAGGCAGGTATGTTGTTTATTAAAGCTGAACTTTGCACATTTCCAGCTCTCACTCTGCGCTCTCCACCTCGCCTAGGCGAGAGCTGCTCTGTATAGAACGTATTGGATTATTTTTAACCTACCCTTCTTCGCATCGACAGCAAGCTCGTAACTACAATTGTGTCAACGTTTACCGCTCATTACATATATAACTGGTCATCGTTCTTCCCTTCTGCACCACTGGAGCCAGGGTTTTTACCGACATTTGACGGTAGGGCCGTCCAGTATCCGAGTGTGAGAAATTTGAGGGACTATATGAGCTGGAGACAAGCTGACTGTATGCCCTCCGTTTATGAATATTCAACGTTATAATTCTGTTTTATCCTACCTTTTCTTACTGAATCGGGTTGGCACTAACGGGAGAGATGCCCCCCACTAACAACGGTTTGGCATTTCCTTAGGCCATATAAATAACCTTTACAACACAACTTTCTGGAATATGATTTTGCAGGGCGGGATAAGTAATACAGAAGCAGAGAAGGAGTTACAGGTTTGTAGAACAAAAGACTCCACATTTTGTGCTTGCCGCTGGCGGAAGGCTGTAGTTCTGGAAGATTACTTACAAAGAAGAACATCAGGGGACGGTATCCGGCGAAAAAAATGAGATCCTATTCTCAAGATTCGGCATAAATTATAATAACGAGCCGGAAATGTATAGAAAAGGGAGTGTGATTTTCAGGGATGTAAGTGTTGCCTTTATTTTCTTCTTTTTCCTTTCTTTTTTTTCTTTTCTTTCCATATTACCCTTTTGGATGTCAAAATTCGAATCAAACGCCACTCAGATCGCACACTTATTTGAGACACAGTACGAAACACAACCCCAAACGGAGGAGGAAAAGGCTGGCGATGGATCTAATGAGGTCGAGGCAGAAACTGGAGAAGAGGTACCACCGACCGAAATGACCAAATCTCAATTAGCGAGACTACGGAAAATACAAAAAAAGGCTACAATTGTTGTCAAACATATGGACATTATTAAGGATGAATTCTGGGAGCAAAGGCCGTGGATTCTATCTAATAAGCCGGGCAGACTGCCTGCGGTGGGTTAATGGTTTCTCCTTCTCGCTATCTGCTAGTCGATAGAGAGTGACAAACAAACGCCTATGCGCATGCGGGACAGGATCATGAGATCTCATGTTCACCCAGTGCAATATAATACAACCAAAATGTAATATCATACCAAAAATTCCGAACCAAAATTGTATGTGCAGCATCCGTTTAAACAGGCCGCATGAAATCTCCAGTCCCCTATGACAGGCTTCAGCCACAGTGAAATTCAAATCCTTCTTGGGCCTCAGATGACCTTTCTCAGTGCGCTTCATCCATCAACCGGAAGATGTCCCGTCTGAGTTTTGGACCTCCGCAACAGTTCTCGAGCCCCGTGGCACCGAGAGGTATATAAAAGCCTAGAGCAAGCCAAGTAATTTCGATAAAACCATCCATAGTTAATCACTTCTTATCACGGAATTTCTTCCCATCTTTCCTCCCGTTCTTCCTTGATTCTTTCTCCATGCGTTTTGGTCCCCGCCGTGCCTCCTCCTTCTCTTCCTTCTTCTGTTTCTTCCGTGCATTCTTATCATACACGGCATCTTCATTAGCCTCTTCAATAATCCCTTCTTCTTCAACTGCAAGAGAGCCGGACTCCGAAGTTCCCAGTTTTTCCCACTTCTTTCGTTTTCTTTTCTCTGCAGGCTTATCCACTGTAATTTCCTCTAATTTGGCGGGATCTTTTTCCTTTTCCTCCTTCTTCTCCTTCTTCTCCTTCTTACTCCGCCACTTCTTCTCTGTAGAGTCCACCGCCACCACTCCACCACCAGCATTTCCTCCCTCGAAAGAACGATCCCCATCCATCTTCCTCTTTTTCCTGCTAGTTTCCTTCCTCAACGCCCTCTCTTCTCTCCTCTCCTCAGCATCCTCTGTCTCATTCCTTCGCTTCCTTTTCCTTTTCTCTACCCCTTCTCCGGAAACAACAGAATCCCCCCCGACCCTCCTCATCTCCTCTTTCCCCTTAACGTCCTTACCCACTATCCTATTAATCGTCCCCTCCAGGCCCTCCCCTTTGACAAAAAAACGATACAACTCGCTCGTCCCGCTCGCGCCAAAGCCAGATCCATCAGAACTAGGCGTCGCACTCCCATCATCGCCAACACCCTTCAGAGCAGCCTCGAATCCGCGCAGCCACCACTGGTTCGTATAATCGTGAGTCGTCTTCTTCCCGAGTCCGTGTGTGTTCTTCTTTCTTGCGACGAGGATAGGTTTGGTAAGGCCGAGGACACCATGAGGGCCGGGGCAGCGGGTTGGGTTAAGTGGGTTGCCAGGGCCTTGCCACCCTTGGCTAAAAAGATATGCGCGGGCATCCATAGGTGGTTGCTCATCTATCATATACTCAATGATGTATGAAGAAGAGGAATAATGAGGTTCGGGTAAGCTATGGTGCCTGGTGCCTAGGTCTACCAGGAGTGGTGAGCAACCCAAATTGGGGAAAGAAGTATTAAATAGAACGATACCCCTATTAGCTTATTTGAGATCGTGGCTATCATGCTCGTAATACATTTGGCTGTGTTGTTATTGTTGTCTCTCGTTCTTGGATGAAAATTACTGTGGTGCTTGCTTAGTCAGCTAACAGCTGGGTAACTAACTATAACTAACTACGTTAAACTAACTATAACTAGTTAGTTAGTTAGTTAGACAGATCCCACGCCTTCATTCAAATTTTGACAAAAAGTCCAAATATATATAAATTATAGAATTAATGGAACAACTTGTGTTAAGTTCAGCTGTATTACATTCGCCGCAGATTTAAATCCTCAATTCCTTTTCTTTGTAAATTGATTGAGCTTCTGAGCTCTAGCAGCCCTAGCTAATCCTTCTTAGAGCAGTTAGAATGAATCCTATATACATATGCAATTTTCCTTCTTTCACTTCTTCCTAACATTGACAGCTCTCAGATTTATATTTTAAGTTTATTATAAAATACGTTAACTGCTTTACTTAAATAAATATAACTATCTACAGAGTATAGTTAATTAATGACTTGTAAAAGTGTAAAGATCAAACCTAATTATGTATTTTAGCTGCAGTATTCCACTAACTAGTTAACATTTAATCTTACTCAGCTTATCACAGAAGCTTCGTGTCATTGATCAAAAAGAATAGAAAGGTGCGAAAATTTACACGGGCATCCCGCAAATTTGCTCTTGTATTTCCTCCTATCCATCTTAGCTAATCTACATACACAGAGCCGAAAAGAAAGAAATTTGAATGGTTTTTTTCTTTTTGGCAAAGCAACAACAAAAATAGCAGAAAGCAATTCCAGCATCGGGCTATATTATGGGCGTGGGTGCTGAATCATCTAGGGATTATTTCTGTCTTTATTCTTTTCTTTTTTGCTGTTTTTGCATGTTTTTGACTTACCCTTGCTTTCCTGCATCCTCGGATCAAAGCGTTGCGAAACACCATTTTGCCCAGAAAAGAATACGATTTTGGATTTGAAAAGGCGAGGGAAAGAACAACTAATCAGGTTAAAAAAAAAAAAAAAAAAAAAAAAAAAAGGAACAGAAGGCTTGAAAGTAAATACACCCCACAGGAAAAACGCCAGATTGATAAAAAGAAATAACCAACCGCCTGATAGAAAACCCAGCCATGCTGGATAGAGTGGTTTTGTTTTTTTTTCGGTATGCAAGTGCTAGTTGACATGAAGTAATAGTACAGCGATGTGCGGGAATAGGGAAGACCATCGGGAAAATAAAAAGGGCAAATGGGAAAACCTCTCAGGAAAGAACAATGTCGAGTCTTCTAGTGAGGGGATCTAAAAATAAAAGTATTAGTGATATATTTCGGTGGCTTTCAAGGAATAAGCAACTTACGTAGGACTAAAGGTTGGGGAGGTCGGGCTGTAACCAGGCGAAGTTGGACCACCAGGGGAAGTTGGCGAGCCTGAGAAGTTCGGTGAAGTGGGTGAGTAGGTTTCTGGGCTGGTTGGGGACCAACCAGGAGAAGTAGGTGTGTACTTGGGCGAGGTGGGAGAAGTCGGAGACAAATGTCTTCCAGTCGATCCTCCAAGCGCAGGGCTCGTAGGACTGTAGCTGGGAGAAGTAGGACTGAATGCAGGCGAGGCAGGGCTGAAGCTTGGTGATGTTGGACTGTAACTTGGTGATGTAGGAGAAAAACCAGGAGATGTAGGAGAATATGATGGCGAAGTTGGCGATTGCTGATAGCCAGGAGAAGTTGGGGAGTAGGCTGGTGACGTGGGTGCAAAGACGGGACTTGCCGGCGAAAATCCAGGGGAGGACATGAATCTGGGGCTCGTGATGCTCATGCCAGGAGAAGTTGGGGAGTAGCCAGATGAGGGCGAGTAGCGAGGAGAAGTTGGGCTGGTATTGAATGGACTGCTAGGAGAGTAGCCTCCACCGGGACTTCTCGCGCCGTGAGGACTGAAGCCACCGCTAAATCCAGGGGCTTGATATTCGGTGAATCCTGCAGGTGTCTCCGATCCAGCTTGTCTGATGGGAGAGAAAGCGGAGTCAGGGTCCGGTGTGCCGATATACATGTTGTCCTGTAGCGGGGAGTTGCTATCATAAGGTGTGGCAGCTCCATCACCGAGAAGACCTTTGCCATCCGCGGTCATCAGCCCTGCGTTGCTGGAAACAACTCCCATGAGCATATTCTGATCTAGGTAAACATCAAACTCTCCGGTACCAGCTGGGGCCATTTGGCCCAAAATCAGATTCTCAGATACACCACGACAGTCATCCAACTCAGCAAATGCAGCGGCATCAAGTAGAATTTCCACTGTTTCCTCAAAAGAACATCTCATCAAAGCGCCAGTATCCGCACGATTGATACCATGCCTAGTGACGGCCATAAGGAAACCTCTCGAGGTCATGACATCGACAAGGAGGGCCAAATGACGGTGATTGACATATGATCCATCAAAGGCGAGCACCTGTGTCAGCTCTCGCAATAGGGCAGTTCGAGTAGCTTCGATACCAAATACTTCAAGAATCTCAACGAACTGATTGGAATATGTGCGAGTTGTATCCACTCCAGGGATAGTCAAGACTTCGCCAAGCGCTGACCCGCTGGTTTCGAGAACCCACTCTTTACACAGGGGGTCTTCACTGCTTTGATGCAGAGATCCATCTTCTAAGACGCGAACTCGAGATTTCTCGTTAATGAATGCACGTTCAATACCCGCCACACCTCGTAGAGTAAGCGTATCAAGCAAATGGCCTTCCAACTTCTTCAGAGTCACATCATACTCGGTATCGTCATCGTCGTCATCTTGCTTTGTGTCCTGGATTTGACGGATACGAATAACCTGCTCATCAGCATTATTATCACTAAAGATAACTGCAATGTCTTGAGGATATGCGTCTTTTATCCTCATTGCGACGTCTTGGACCGTAAGATTTTTGTCGAGAAGCTTCGGTCGGCTCAGAATAATTCTGAGTAGCCATTTGGATTGACGGCTTGAATCATCTGCGACATCTTCAGGGATAATGAAATACGATTCAACCATGTCACGATCCGCTTCAATCACAGTAGATTGAATATCAGGGTCGTAGTAGATCTCCGTTGCTTCAGTAACTGATCTCAAGCTTGTATGTTCAACAACACTACGTAATTGCTTGGCAGATTCCTTGTCCATTGCACGACTAGAATCTTGATAGACTGTCATGGAGGGAGTCTTAATATGCGTAGCCACATTGAGAATTTCCTTGAGACGTGGTACACCGAGGGTAACGTTCTTGGACGACACACCAGCAAAATGGAAGGTATTCAAGGTCATCTGCGTTGCCGGCTCTCCAATTGACTGTGCCGCCAAAACGCCCACCATTTCACCTGGATTTGCCATAGCTCTGGAGAATCGATTTTCGATGGCTCCTAGTACGTGTTGGAAGGCGAGTTTGTTAAGCGAGTATTCCGTGACAAGTCTCCGGAATGCAAGGCGGGAGCGGAGCTGAGCCTTAAACAGCAAAGTAGCACTTTCTTGAGCTTCACGGGAGATTACATCATCACCACGGACTACGACAAGGCGATCCAACAG